TTCTCTTTTTTCAAAAAATTATCAAAAAAAGAAATTTTCTGAAAAAATAAAGATTAATGAAAAGAGTTTTTTTTTTATATTTAATTTAATTTAGTTAAATCAAAGCAGTTATAGTTTAATATGCTTTGAAACTGGTTCAAAATATATCAAATTGGTTTCAAATTAATTTTGTATCAAATTGAATTGAATTGAATCAGATTTGGATTTAAATTAGATTAGATCAAACTATTATGATTTCAAATTGAATCAGATCTATATCTGATTTGTATTTATAAAAACTGGATCAAATCGAATCTAGTTAAAATTTGATCTGATTTGATCTATTGTGATTACTAGTAAATAATATACTTACACTATATAATTATATAATTATCTTATCCTAGTTAGATGAGACATAAATAATTTGCTCTTTATACTACTCGTTGATCTGTAAATCCTTAAACAGTATGGATAATTATTTATTCCAGTTGTCCCTAAGTATTTTCTTATTTTAATAAAATATGTTTACTGTGGTACAAGGATAAGTTAGCATTAAAAAAAATATTGATAAATATTTATATATTTATTACAATAATAATTTATAAGTATAGAACTTTATAATTAAAGAATAATTCAAATTATAAAAAAAACAAAATATTGTTTCTTAAGTTATATCTAAAAAAAATAAACTTCAATATCAAATAAGTTAATTTTTTTTTAATTTACAATTATATCAAATAACTTGTTTTTTATTAAAAAATATATAATTATCTGCAATATTACATAATAACTAACTTATTATTGCACTAAAGTACTTCAACTCGTATCTAAAAAACAATATTTTACTTCCTTAAAGGATTGATAAATAATCTTTGCTCACTAGGTTTATCATCAACAGTTTGTTACTATAGATTATTTGTAAACTATAAATTGCTAAGTTAAAATAAAGGAAAAAAAGAAATTAGAAAAAGAGAACAATTCAAGGTCTTATCAAAAAAGTCTAAAAAAAAAGCAATTCTTCTTTCAAAAGGGATTTGTCTAATTGAAATAATATTCTTATTTTTCTTGAGTCTTAAAAGAAATCTTCTTTGTTATTACTTATGATATTAAATGAGTTAATGTATCTAATCCTTTATTTAAGTGAGCACTGGATTGGAATATCTTAAGAAAAGTATTCAAATCTTAGTTTTTGTCTATTAAAGCTTTGTTACTACTTAAGGAATTTAAAAATAAAACAAGAATTTACGATTCATATTATTTATCTCTTAGTTTTTTGATATTTTAGATATCTTTCTTAAAAGACTTGAGTTTTTGAAGAATAAATATTTTCAGAATATTCTTTTCAATTATCAATAATATTATCAAGATATATAATGTGATTAATAGAAACTTGTTATATTCTAAAAACTAATATATTTTATATTAACCAATTACTTTTGATAAGAATTTATACTATTTATAATTTAGGATTATACTAAATATCAAAATTTCTTAAAAAACCATAAAAATAGAAACTTTAAAAGGGCCTAGATAGTTAGAAAGAAAAAAAATAAACTTTTTTACTACAACAAAACCTCAATAAACTCTTACTTTAAAAATTGAAAAAATTTTGAAATATTGCACAATCAGTTCTTTCTTCTTTAAAAACTTTCTTATTATTAATATCAAAGGTATTACTTGACTTTTCTTGATTATCAAAAGTCAAGTTTTTGAGTGAAGAGATTTGTAAATAAGAAAAAAAGTATAGAAATAATTCTTGAAGTCATATTTCAAGTTGTTTTAATAAAAATATTAAAACTTTATTAGCAAAAAAATAAAAAAACTTCTTGTGAAAAATTTTTTCTATGTAATTAAAAGATCAATAGAACATGTTTTTTTTAATAACAAATAAGTTAATATATAATTTATCATACTTTTTTCATTGATTCTTCAACTATGTACAAAGAAGACATTCACAAGAAATTTTTTATATTTATTGACTAATAAAGTCTTACCACTTTTCTTAAACCAACTTGAAATAATATTTCAAGAGTTATCATTATTTCTTCCTTTCTTTTGTAAACATTTTCTTCAAATAAAAACCTGACTTTCAGTAACAAAAGTCATAAATACACCTTTCTTATTGATGGTAAGAAAGTTCTGAAAAAAAGAAGAACTTAAGTACTGTTACTATTCATTTATTAAAGAAACAATATAGAGCTTTGTTGGTGATAAGATACTTATCTTGAAGGCAATTATCTACTCTCTTATCATATATTTGCTCTAAAAGTGCTCTTTCTCAATTTTTTCTAAAGAATTTTATCTATTTTAGTTTGACCCTAAATTTTAAGTAGTATATGTTTCTCAAATAGTGATTAGCTAGAAAAAAATATATCAGTAAAAAAATGTAAACAAGCTTCCATTAGTTACACTCATGTATCTTATTAGATACTATCTCTTAACATGTTATTGAATATCAAGAAGGAGAATAATCTTCAAGAAAACTATCTATCACTATTTAGAAAAATAAAAAGAATAAGATGATCAATAAGATATAGAATAAAGACAAGGTCTTAAAAGTGTATCACCTACTTATACAAGTCTAAAACATTGAGAGACTAGAAGATCTCCTGGAATTATTTGTACCAATCAAAAATAAAATTATTGATAGAAGATACCAATATAAAAGGATATAGTGGATTAACTTCTTTACAATAGTAGTATTCCAAGAGCAACATTTATCAAGGTCAGTAAAAGTATATACCAGAAAGACCAAGATTCTTTTTCTAGAAAGTTTATTGCAATAGATAAGTAAGGACAGATTTACTGGATAACAAAGGTACTATACCTTATACCCTTATCCCCATAATTCTTTCTTTCCAACTATCTTCAATTCCAGTTCTAGACACTTTTAAAAATCCTTTTGACTTGTCTGATTACTTGGAGAAATATTAAAAAGAAGATCCAATATAAGTAGGACAAGACAAAATATAGAATTAAAACTGGAAAACACAAGAACCATAACATGAAAGTACTGAAAGCAACTGAGAAACAAATATTGTGTTCTCAACCGATGAAGTTTTTGAAAAATATTCACCAATGATAAAGAAATGATAGTAATAATATAATCTCAAGTATTGATTTTATAATAGATTACTATTTTTCTCTCTTGCCAAGTTCTTTCATGATGTAACAAAATCCTCTTCCCTATTGATCCTTGTATAACTATTGTTTCTAATTACTTTTTTTAGCAATAGATAATTGTTCAAGAAGATTTGTATATAAATATATATCTCCTCTATTGGATTAAGATAAATAATCTAAATTCAATATACACATTAACTCTCTTAAAAATTTTCTATCACTCTAATGGTCCTTTTATTAGATCTTTGTCTAGAAATGGTTTAGTCATGAGATGGTTACTTAATCTATCATTAGTTTATTAGTTTAATATTGTTTTTTTTTGGTTAAATATTCCTATATAGCTAAATTTTATTAATAAACTTGGTTAAGCCAGCACTAAAAAATAAAAAAAATTTAAAATTATAATTATCTTTAATAAAATTAGATTATATTTATATATTTATATAAATTATAATTATCTTTAATAAAATTAGATTATATTTATATATTTATATAAATTATAAAACTTTTTTAAATAAAATTTATGAAATGATTTTTTTATTTCAATTAAATAAATCATAAACAATTAAATCTTTTCCCTAATCTTCTAACTATATACAAAAAGATGTTCACAAGAAGTTTTAATACTTCTATACTAATAAAGTCTTAACACTTTCCTTAAATCAACTCAAAGAGTTTCTTCAGACACTCATCTTTTCCTTCTTCTTGTTTACAACCTCCTTTGGAAAACTGAACTCTTGTGGCCTGCAAAGTTCAGCTTTTACCTTTACTATCTATGGTAAAAAAGTTCTTAAAAGGAAAAGGACCAACATTGAAATACCTCTCATCTCTTAGTTATAGTGAAGATAATAAAGGTTCTATTCCAATCAAAGAACTCATCTTCTATCCTTTGATTGACCTTTGGTCTTTTAGAGTTATCTTTTTCATAGCATTTTGAGAATTTTGCCTACCTTAGTTTGACCCTGAAATTTTGGGTAGCACAAATCTCACCAATCCTGATTGGCTGATGCAAAACACATTAGACAAGATTGATAAACAAGCTTCTATTGATCATCTTATGTATCTAAATATATTTCTTTAGCTCCATAAGAACCTGAGATCCACTGTAAGTTGTCACGCTGGTCGCGGATAGATACAGGACACATTTTTTTCTATATTAGTAGACAATCTGTATAAAAGAGTCTATCCAACCATAACAAAGGTTATAAGATACTCCAATCATTTTTAGTATTGAAGTCACCTTCCCTTAGTAGCCAAGTAGGTTCTAACAGCTCTTGTAGATAGATAAATATCTGCTTTTTTAAATAAAAACAAACAAAGTGAATAGGAATTTTTTTCTTAGCTGGTGGATTTTTTACTCCTGATCCATGATTTGTGTGAAGACTATAAGTTAAAAAACTATATCAAGATTTTCAACATGACTTCCCCTTAAGTATGACCTACTAAGATTACTAATGGTATCTATCAGTTGTATTCATAGTGAAAGTACTTGCTAGAAACTCTTGCTAGATTAGAAGATTTCCTAAAGACTTAGCTTGACTTTGGAAGAATTGTATCTTTTTAAATAAATAGCATATGATACTATCTTTAGGACTAAGTCGACAAACTCTCCATAGATTTTAAGATATCTTTCTAGCTGTAAGTTCCATCCAGTTTTTGAATAAGTAGTCCCCTAGGTAAAGCCTCAGATAAAGCCTTGAAACCATTCCTCCCTGATCATGAAATGAAATCTCTTCTCTCTTCCTTTTTAAAGATTTAAAGACAAGATACTCCAGCAGATAATTCATAGGTATTGGTACTTTTTATGATAAAAGTTTCAGTAGACAGTCAGTAGTTGAGAAAATTTAGGTCGTTACTCGGCAGCTCTTGATGTTTTTTTTGGGGGGGATTATTTTTTCTTAGTAACAACTATAAAGAACTTAGTCACTAATTCAGCCTAGGCAAGTTAGTTTTCAATATGGAAGGCAATAAACTATAAAGGTCCTTATAAAAGATTTGAATTAAGAGGAATCTTTATATACAACTTTTAATATACAGTATATGCTAGTATAATTTTAATTTGTAATTAGCTTTAAAGTAGATTATACACATATAATATCAAGTTTAAAGTTAATAAAAGCCAACTGGAGGTTAAGTCACTTTCAAAAAAAAAAAAAATTCGATTAAATAAATTCTTTTATAATATAATATTAATATCAATAACATAATAAGTGAATTCATATATTAGTAGAAAGATAAGTTCTTTAACCATTTTTCTTGAATTTCACTATTCAGAAATAATCAAGATTTTCAAATATTACAAAATTAGAAAATATCACAATTAAACAAATACTTTTTGAAAAAAGATTATAAATAGATTAAGAATTTTTTGAAAAAACCTTAAATTATATTCTTTTTTTCTTTCCTTCTTTTTTCTAATTATACTTTAACAATTTATTGTTTTTCAAGATAATTAATAGTAATAAACTTTTGACAATAATTCTAGTAGTTAAAGATCAGGTACCAAACTATTAGAATATAATATTGTCCTCTAAATTTGACTTAAATACCTAGTTAGTTTTGCTTAATCTGAACAGCTTAGTGAACTCCTCATATAATGATAAGTTATAGCTTATTAGATATTCTCTTAATGACTCAATAAAGACACACCATGATGGTATAATTGTGAGTAAAAAAAAATAAAAAAAAATCAAATAAAAAAACCTTAAATTAGAATTTTATTTTATATTATTTATCAAATAATAATATTATAACGACGCACTATCGAATAAAGTATGTATCAAATAACAAAATATTGTATGACTTAATAAATTTTGCAATCAAAATTTTTCTATGATTCTAAATTCATCTAGTTGTAAAAGAATTTTTTCTACTTTGGGTTGGATAATTGAAAAACGATGACAAAAATACAATAAATGAATGCAAGATTTTGAGTTATGCATCCATATCTAAATCCTCGCAGTGACACACCTTTCCTTGTTCGCAGCATCGGTCCAAATTTCTGTCCGTCTAAATCCATGTTTTTTTAAATCATTTGTAACCTTTTCCACTTGATGTCCGCCGCCAATTTCCATTACTATTTGAGGAATGCTCATTCGAGACATCTCATCATACATGTCTTTAATTACATTATGCTGAGATATGATTCTCTCACCCTTAATGTGATAGTCATCTGGTAAATAATTCTTCCTTCTTAGCAGGTATCTGGATGCCAAGTACGTGATTCGATTGTGAAAAGCCGTTCCATTATCATCTGCTACCAACGCGAATTCATCTTCCCACAATCTTACATCAGCATCTAAAGTGGCATATTCATTTCGAGCAATATACGGTGGGTTTGAAACGATTAAGTCGAATCCCTCACCTTTCTCTTCATCGCAATTATATTTTATTTCTCGCACAAACGATTTGACTTCTTTAATCGATGCTTCTAGAATATCAAATTTTAAGAACTCAACATGATTTCTAAGTATTTTTTTTCTATTTAGAACTTCGAGATTCAGGTCTGCCAACGAAAGTGCATCGGACGAATTATCAATGCCATAAATGTGGCAGGTATTCGGCGGAAGCAAGTGAGCTAACGATAGGGCTATGCACCCTGAGCCAGTACAAATGTCGAGGATATGAAATGGTGGACAGGAAGATAAAGGTGACCGAGATGAATAAAATTTTTTGAAAAGTAACGTCAGCCTTGTACTGAGTCGATAAGTCCATTCTTCGGTTTCCCATCTACAACAATACACATTAATTTGGAAGTTTTGATAGTATTTCGTTTTAATGCAAAGGAAGAACTTTGGTTACCTCGGAATTAGCACTGGCGGTTTAACGGTTATTTCCAAATCACAGAATGGTTGCGTGCCTTTATTTAAATAAGTTATCTGCAATCAAGATATCAAGAAGATATACCAGAAAGATTCGTAGTTTAACACTAACGAACCAATTATATACTGCAACGGTTTCGACTTCTCTATTCTTTCTCTCACCAACTTGTTTAACAGATCTCTTTCTCTCATATTAAAACCATTTATAATTTTTTTTGTCGACAATAAATCATTACTTTCACTAGTTAAAGAAAACTCTTTATCTTTTATAAATTCACATTGATCTGTTATCATATCGCCGTTCTTTCGACTTTTTTCTAAAACATAAAGAGCGAGCCATTTTAGTTCTTGCTGAGCTTGTGAAAAATTCGAACATTTCAGTAAAAGTTGACGAAAAAATTGGTGCATTTTTTTTTTTTACGTGACTGAAAATATCGGACGCATATCTAGCATATCAGACATAGCATATTATACAATTTGCGCAGTTTTTTTTTTTTGATCATCTATTCCGCTAATGAACGTGAACGAGAATGCGGCATTTATTAAAAAAAAAAATTTTTTTTTTTAGTTTACAAGTTTTGCAAACATTAATCGTTTCGCGATCACTTGATAAATTAATTGCTATGCATATTATTTAAAAATTAAATTCATAATTTATTTTTATTTTTTAATTTATAATTATTTTTTTCTTTATTGAGAAATTAAAACAAAATCTACAATAGTTTGTAGACTTTCATAAAGTAATTAACTCATATTTATATATAAGTACTTTAAGTTAGATTTTGGAAACAATATTATACTTTTCTAATAAATTGGTTATGACCTTTATTTACTAGGATCATTGTTAATAGTTTATTATTATTGATTGACTCAAAAATCAATAAATTGTTAAGTTAAAAAGAAAGAGAAAAAATAATTGAGGAAAGAAAACAATTCAAGATCTATTAAAAAAATTTTTAAAAAAAAATAATCTTCTTTCAAAAAAAATCTGTTTAATTGAAATAATTTTCTTGCTTCATTTGAACCTAATAAAAATCTTCATTTTCATTAGCTATAACAATGGATAAATCAATTTAACCAATTTTTTATTTGAATAAATATTAGATTGAAATATTTTAAGAAAAGCATTTAGATCTTAGCTTTTGTTTATTAAAGCTTTATTATCACTTAAAAAATTTAAGTAAAAGATAGAAATTTGTAATTTATATTATTCAAATATCTGAGTATAATCAATAGAAGCTTGTTTATATTTCAAAAACTAATATATTTTATATTAGTTAATTAATCTTCTTTAATAAAAATTTGTATTATTCAAATTTAGAGTCAAATTATATAGATAAAATTTTTTTGAAAACTATAAAAATAGAAGTTTTAAGAAAGTTAAAACAATTTAAAAAGAAAAAATAAGTTTTTTAATTGCAATGAATCTTTATAAATCTTTCATTTCAAAGGTTAAAAAGATTTTCAAATGTTTTACAATCAGGTTTTCTTCTTTTGAAAACTTTTTTACTATTGATATTTAAGATGTTACTTGACTTTTCTTGATTATTAGAAGTTGTGTTTTTAAGTAAAAAAGTTTGTAAATAGTAGAAGAAAGATAAAGATAATTCTTAAAGTCATACTTTAGGTTGTTTTAAGAAAAGTATTAAGACTTTATTAGAAAAAAAGTATAAAAACTTCTTATAAATATTTTTTACTAGTCAAAATTATGTCAAATTTAGATCTGTGAATTTATAGCATAGTGATAGTGCTCCTAAGTCACAATTACAAGGTTTAAAGTTCAATACTATATGAGAATCAAGTGAAAATTAAGCCATAAGATGATATAAAGATTTTATCTTCTCCATAATAATAATCAAGTATCCTAACAAGGCAATAAAAAAAACTTATTTACTTATTATACCTATAGTAAGAATGACCAAATCAATACAAGGTTCTATATGAAGCTAGTATAAATAACATGAGTCCTTTATATACAACTGGTTTCAGATATCCTAATAAAAAGTAAAGAAGAATTTCATCCATTTACTGTAGTCATAACAAGACAAAATACAACACAAGGTTCTATAAATATAGTCAAAATAAATGATATGAGGTCTCAAATACAAACTAATTATCTCTAAGATAGAAGAAGAAGGATCTGATCATTTATAGAAATAATTAGACAGACCTATAACTAAAAATGGGTCCCTAAAGAGGAAGCAGGAACAAAAGTCAAATGTCCTTCACTAGGAAAAATTAAAATTTTTAAATTAATAGCTATAAAAAAACTATCTATAATTGTTTTTTATTATTCAAAACATTGATTTATAGAATTTCCTGACTTTTGTCCCTATTAAAGCAAAGAGTTATGAATTTGTTTTTCAAAAAGTGATATAAATGATCTGCAAAATTTTATATGCTAAATACTTTAAGGATCTATCTTTATCCATAACCAGATAAAAAAATTTAACCTAGTGTGACATTAAAGATACAAAAACAAACTTCAATAATCAAGGTTAACAATTGAGGAATTGATGTCCTTCATACAAGATTGAGCTCCAATCAAGTAACAAAACAGGTATCTGATATATGATAAACTCTTTAGAAAATCTTGAAGTACTAATAGAGTCAACAGAAGATTCTATATAAGAAATCTCTAACATTAATAATACTGGTATCTTATAATAAAGTTTTTAAACTAGCGCAGGAATAAACTAGCATTCAAAAAAAAAAATTATTATCAAATTTAATTAAATTGAATAATAAAAATATTGATGAATTTTTTTCAATTGTTGCTACTCAGCATAATACTATTTCAATAATAAAATAAACAATAAAAAATTTGACAATTAAAAATTCCGTAATTAAAAATTTGTCAATTAAAAGTTTAATAATAAATTGTCAAAAATTTATTAATAATTTATTAAATAATTTATTAACTATTTATCAAAAATTTATTGACAATTTAATAAAAGTTTATTATAAAATTATTTGTTAGCAATTCAATAAAAATTTAATATTAATTTATTAAAAATTTATTAAAAATTTATTAATAGTTTATTAAATTTTTTTTTAAAACCCTCTGTCAGATTAATTAAATATACTTTATTTTTATTTTTATTTTTTTTAAAATAATGCCTCAACCTTGTTTTATTAAAGTTTTAAGTCAGGATAAATAAATGCTGATACAAGAAATAGTTACTAATAAAATACTCTTAGAATTGTCTGTGAGTAGTTAAAATTTTACACTACTACTACCACTTTAATTCCATAAGCTGATTACTCTTCAAGGGCTTTATCAGTCAAGGGTATACTACCTATTCCTCAGCTACTTTCAGTATCTTCATGTTGTAAAATTCTAATCACTTCAATCCACGGGAGGACTTGTTATCAGGGAGAATTACTCAAATCAATCTAATTCATGCACCAAGAAAAAAGATTCATCAATCCTTCTAGATTCTCCCTAACTAATGTGCTCAGGTGAGACACATCATTTCAAAAAAAAAATTTGATTCCCTTATATCTCGCCTGCCATATAACCCAACTTAGCCACGGGAACTTTATTTCGAATCTTTACCTATTTAACGAAGCTGGAGAAGGAACCTACTCAGTGGCCAGGAGTGGGTGACTACAACTATAAAATCCAGTTGTAATATCTTATAACCTTTACTATGGTCAGACAGACTCTTTCTTGAAGAAATCAATGATATAAATAAAGAAGTGTCTTGTATTTACTTGTATCAGTACAATGACTTATAGTAGATTTCAGGTTCTTATGGAGCTGAGAAAATGCATTCAGATATATAGAGTGATCAATGGGAGCTTGTTTATATTTTTTGCTAATGTAAGCTCAATCTGTCCAATCACAGTGTGAGATATTTTGTGCTACTCATAATTCAGAATTAAACTTAGGTAGGCAAAATCCCCTAAAAAAAATCAAGAACAAGCACTATGAAAAATAGACATAATAACAAAAGAGTGGAGAAGTTGTCTCTTATTATTTATAGGCTTCTGTGATATTTCTTTACAGTGTAAGATGATAGCATATTAGTTCTTTTTCCTTTTGAAACTTTCTTGCCATTGGTAAAAAAGGTTTTTCCTTGACCTTTAAGGTCACTAAAGATCAAGTTTTTGTTTTAAAAGAATAGTAGACAAAAGAAGAAGGAGTAGTTGATGACTCTTGAAGCTTCTTCAAATTGATTTAAGGAGAGTAATAAGACTTTATTAGTATAGAAGTATAAAACTTCTTGTGAATATCTTTTTTGTGTATAGTCAGAGGATCAACAGAAAAAGTTGGAATATTTTAAATTGATTATATATACTTTATTAAATATTATAAACTATAAATTATAATATAAATCATCAAAGCTTAACTTGTGTGTCTATAGTACAGTGGTAGTGCTCCCAGGTCACAATCACAAGGTCCATAGTTCAATACCATATGAGTGTTATATGAAAGATTTATGGAATGAAAAAACTATCTATGATATAAAACACAATCAGGTCTAAGAAAAACACTGATTATCTTCATTCCAGTTTTATACAAACAGGGTTTTCCCACTTCTAGTTCTAAGCAGGTTTTCTTCCTATAAAAGGTATAATCTACATGACTGAACACAAACAAATCTGAAAAAAGTATCAAAACTGGCAATAGCACTACATCTATCAGAACCATTTGAAAAGTGTACTTCTCCTTTCATGGAACTAACAAGTCAAGCCTAGCAAGTTAGTTGAAGGAATCCGGAAGGATTGAAGATCTGAAAATAGGGATGTCTAGGTTTTCTAGATAGGTAGTAGTAAAAATTTAATCTGACTGGATATTTCTGGGCAACAAGACATCTGATGAATCCTTTAAAAGTAGGGTTCTAGAAATGTTTGTCAACATGAATTATAAAAATATGTATTTCCTGCAATTAAATTTGTAAATTATTTTATCAAGTTAATAAACAAGGCTGAGCTTCCATTCCAACATAAATTATCAAAGCTAAAAACTCTAATTAGCTTACTTGTCTTAATGATTTGCCACTCTATTAAGAATTTAGGTAAAAATCCTTTCAACTTCTAATACTATTACCTGCAGATCACTATTGCAAATCACTCTATTAAGTTTTAACAGAACTCAAAATGCAACCACTTTCTTTTGAATATAATCTCTATTAATAAGATGTTTTTCAAGTCTTAATTTTCTAGTTTTTCTTATTTTGGTAATGAAACTTTTCTTCTTGATAATATAGTTTTATAATCTTAAAAGTTAAGAGGTTTTTTTATCTTATTATTTCTTTGTATTCCTTATATTCTTTTTCATTCTATTATCTATTCACATCTTAAATTTCAGACTTTCTTGTAAAATCGATTACATATTATATTCTATATTTCTTTTATTTACTTTTTTATTTCTTTTTCAATTTTTTTACCATAGTATTTTA